ATCAATATAACCCTATATATATATATATATATATATATATATATATATATATATATATATATATATATATATATGTGGTAGTTGTTCTTCCTTTAAATTTCAGTGCGCATTAGTCTGTTTGATAAAATTTCTAAGTGTCAAACGTCTTTGTCTAATCTTTATTTTCCCATACAGTTTAGATTTGTCTTTCTTGTTGTTAGTAGTAAAATTGTTCTTTGCTACTTGTCCTTTTTTGGTACTACAATTATGTTTTATTCCTTGTGATTGCTACAGTTGAAAGTGATTTTTGAACTATAGATTGTTTGATTCTTGTAAGAACCATAAGTCAGAGAACGAGTGGAAAAAGGCAAGAGTGCATATTATACAAAAGCCAAATTGAGAGTAAACACGAGTGGTACATCATTGAGTGCAAACACGTGATAAGAGTGGTGAGGTCCTATTACTTCATTTGTTTGGTCCTTTCTTTTTTTTTACTTGAAAGATGGCAGGTACAGGTGGTGGTGGTACCCCTCCTCTGGGGGGTGACAATAGATTATTGATTGATGCCATTACAACCCAAATGCAAAGAATGTTGACAGAACATACCAAGGAGTTATACGGGAGAATTGAACAACTAGAAAATCAAGGTAATGAAGGTGATGCTAGAGAGAACATAATTGAAGGAGTAAAGCTGAACATACCCCCCTTTTCAAGGAAAGAGTGATCTAGAAGCATATTTGGAGTGAGAAATAAAAATTGAGCAACTATTTGCATGCCATAATTACACAGAAGATAAAAAGATGAGGGTGGTAGCCATGGAACTCACTGATTATGCTCTCATTTGGTGGAACCAATTACAAAGGGAAAGGGTGAGATATGAAGAACCCTTGGTGGAAAGTTGGGAAGAAATGAAAAGGTTGATGAGAACAAGATTTGTTCCTTCTCATTATCAAAGAAATCTTCACAACAAGCTCCAAGGACTCATACAAGGTAGTAGAGGTGTTGATGAATATTACAAAGAGATGGAGGTTTCCATGATTAGGGCTAATGTTATGGAGGCGCGGGAGGCTACTATGGCCCGATTCCTACATGGGCTAAATAGTGATATAATGGATGTTGTGAAGCTGCAAAATTATGTTGAGTTGGAGGATTTAGTACATCAAGCTTCCAAGGTGGAACAACAATTGAAGAGAAAGGGTGCCATGAGGAGGAGTTCATCTAATTTTCACTCTCCTAATTGGAAGGACAAAAATAAGAAGGAGGGAGGATCATCAACAAGCAATCCCAATGTTATAGCTCACAGAGCTCAAAATAAGTTTGATGAGGCACTTAAGAAAACAAGGAGCAGTGAGATTAAGTGTTTCAAATGTTTGGGAAAAGGTCACATAACTTCTCAATGTCCCATCAAGAAGACTATGTTACTTAAGGAGGATGGATAAATAATTAGTGAATCTTCTTCAGATTCTCCATCTAGCGATGAAAATGAGCATGAAGATGAAAGAGAGTTAGAAGGATATTTGTTCATGATTAGAAGAATGTTGGGTAGTCAATCAGTTGAATTGGATGATTGTCAAAGAGAAAATATTTTTCATCCAAGGTGCCTCATTCAAGGGAAGTTGTGCTCTTTGATCATTGATGGTGGGAGTTGCACTAACGTGGCTAGTGCACGGTTGGTTTCAAAAATGAATTTGGAGACTAAGTGACACCCGCGACCTTACAAACTTCAATGACTTAGTGAAGATGGTGAGATGACCGTGAATAGGCAAGTTGAAGTGGGTTTTTCCATAGGGAAATATGAAGATTCTGTTTTGTGTGATGTGTTGCCTATGGAGGCTTGTCATTTACTTCTTGGGAGACCATGACAGTATGATAGGAGAGTTATGCATGATGATTTCACTAATAAGTTCTCTTTTATGCATAAAGACCGCAAAACTACTCTTGCACCTTTGGTTCCAAGAGAAGTTAGTGAGGATCAACTAAAAATGAGAAAGAAAAGAAAAGAAGAAAGAAAAGAAAAAGAGAGAGAAAAGAGAAAAGAAAAAGAGAGTGAAAAGAAAAAGGAAAAAGAGGAAGAAAAAGAGAAAGAGAGAAAAAAATCAAATTTGTTTATAAAAGAAAAAGAAGTCAAAAGGGCTATGTAATTGAGAAAGCCAATACTTTTACTTTTGAGTAAAGAAAGTAAATCAAACAGTCCATGTTTTACTAACTCTCTTCCAAAAGATGTTTCTTCTTTGTTGCAGGATTTTAAAGATGTTTTTCGTAAAGAAGTGCCTATAGGTCTACCCCCTCTTAGGGGTATTGAGCATCAAATTGACCTTATTCTAGGAGCTTCATTGCCTAATAGACCAGCCTATCGAAGCAATCCCCAAGAAACCAAGGAGATTCAAAAGCAAGTTGAAGACTTAATGCAAAAGGGGTGGGTTAAAGAAAGCTTGAGTCCATGTGCAGTCCCGGTCATTCTAGTCCCTAAGAAAGATAGAATTTGGAGGATGTGCACAAATTGTAGAGCTATCAATAACATCACGGTAAAGTATAAACATCCCATTCCTAGGTTAGATGACTTGTTGGATGAATTGTATGGTGCTTGTATCTTCTCTAAAATTGACTTGAAAAGTGGATATCATCAAATTAGAATTAGAGAAAGAGATGAGTGGAAAACAACTTTTAAAACTAAATATGGGTTGTATGAGTGACTAGTTATGCCCTTTGGGTTAACTAATGCTCCAAGCACTTTTATGAGATTGATGAACCATGTCTTGAAAGAGTTTTTAGGCAAATGTGTAGTGGTGTATTTTGATGATATTCTGATATATAACACTAATTTTGATTTGCATGTTGAACATTTGCATGTTGTCATGAATGTGCTTAGAAAGGAAAAATTGTTTGCTAATCTTGAAAAATGTACCTTTTGCACTGATCATGTTATGTTCTTGGGATTTGTTGTGAGTTCTAAAGGGGTACAAGTTGATGAGGAAAAGATTAGAGCCATCCAGGAGTGGCCTACCCCTAAGAATGTGAGTGAAGTGAGAAGCTTTCATGGGTTAGCTAGTTTCTATAGGAGGTTTGTTAAAGACTTTAGTACTTTGGCTGCACCTCTTAATGAAATAGTCAAAAAGCATGTTGAGTTTAAATGGGATGAAAAACAAGAAAAGACATTTTCTGAACTTAAGCACAAACTATCTAATGCCCCATTCTTGCATTACCAAATTTTGCAAAATCTTTTGAAATTGAATGTGATGCATCTAATGTGGGTATTGGGGTTGTTTTGCTATAAGAAGGTCATCCAATTACTTATTTTAGTGAAAATTTGAATGGGGCTGCCCTAAACTATCCCACCTATGATAAGGAATTGTATGCCTTAGTGCGTGCTTTACAAACTTGGCAGCATTACCTTTTACCAAAAGAGTTTGTAATTCATAGTGATCATGAATCTCTGAAATACTTAAAGTTGTTCTCTGGAATAACCTTTGGTTATTCCTTTTTCTAAATATAGATTTAGTTATATTTTTTCCTTCTCAAATTGTTTCCCTTCATGTAATTGCACTGCCCCCTGAGTGTGAATGCATAACCACTTTGTCTCATCTGAGTCAGAGATCTAGTTAGCATCATTATATCATTCTAGTACAACGAGAAATCCACTATATTTAATGACATAATTCATTGAACCTCTTAAGTATCTCATAAGCCTTCAAAGTGCATCTCAATGTTGCTGATTAGGACATTGAGTGTACTTACTCAATCTACCTTCTGCATAAGTAATATCATACCTAGAAAAACTCATTAAATGCAATAAACTTCCAATTATCTGAGCATACTAAGGTTGAGAAATATAATCTCCTCCATTTTTCTTTAATTTAGAGTTAGTGTCACAAGGGTTAGTCACTTGTTTGAAGTCATAATACTCAAACTTCCTAAGAAGTTTCTCAATATATTGTCCTTAAATTCCTTATGATTCTAATTCCCAAAATCATATTGGTTTCACTTCGTCTTTTATTTCAAATTTACATCACATAAACATCTTAGTTCTAGAGATTATGTCAATACATGTACCATTAACATGTTATCTCCATGTAAACATATAATAACATATTCATCACTTTTAATTTTAGAGTACACACATTTATCAACATCATTAGTTTGGAGAGAAAGTGGTCTTGAATAGGCACACCCCATCACCCTCTCCTTCTCATTATCGGAGTGGGAGATAATTATAAGGGAGAAAACTAAATGGAAGGAAAGGAAGGTCATTAGTTTAGTTGATAACACTAATTATATATTCATTTGAACATTAAATTTCTTCAAAATCCAATGCCAACCAACCATGGATAGAAAAGAAAACGAACCTCTCATAAAGCATAAAGTCATCTTAACTCAGAAACAACACTCGATGTTCAAAAACTATAAACAAATCCAATCACTCAAACTTCTTAAGAAATCAGGATTCAAATCACAGTTCTTAAATTGTAGTGTTAAGAGGAAGTATTCATGCAATAACACTAATTGTCTTCCCTACCAGAGGATGTAAAAAACTATTGTATCAGACTAGCTATATTGTCAAATAACTAAACCAAAATTCCTTATAACCTGCACCCCACAAGCAATAGAAATTTATGTTTTCCTCAATTTCAAATAATCTTAAGCCAATAAGTATTGATACCTCAAATGCAGAAACGTAATTAATCAAACCCAATTCATTTGGGTATGGAAAACCACATTAACATGATATACTAAAACAAAATTCAAAAAATGTCCTCTTGAAAGTGAAAGACGAGCTTCTCAAGCATCACAAATATTAGTGACATGAATTACGAGATGAGAAGAATCAGGGGCATACACATGTACGGAAAATGGACAAGAACTTTGAGAAGCCCATTCCCCCTTTGGGTTTACTAAAGATAGGATCAAAGCCTTCAAACGCTTATGCTTCAACGAAGGTCTTTGGAGGGTGCAAGGGAGCTTTAGGAAGCTATAATCGGAATCGGCTATGGTGAGGTATATGCCAACAAAACCCACCGCAAAAAATGAACGTCACCGTTAAAGCTACCGTGGCTTCCAAAAGCTCAAGGGGAACTTGGACGATGATGTCACAGGTTATTCCACCACGGTGTTTGCACCCTCTGTCTCTCTCTTTATAAGCTTTTGTCATATTTTGTTAGTCATAAGTTGAAGCGTGTATAATAATTTTCTTTAAGACTTACAAGAATTTTCTGGATTTTTCGTGAAACTAAAAAATTAATAAAAAACTCTTAAAAAAATAAATAAAATCTAAAATAAAAGGAGACTAAGGCAACCGAAATATATATATATATATATATATATATATATATATATATATATATAAATAAAAGAATAATTCAAAAAATGAAATCTTAATTATCAATTTTAAATTATTTCTAACATAATTCAAATTAATATAAACATAAAAAATAAAAACTAATATTTTTATTATTTAATATATTAGTCATAACATAAAGTGTAAGATAAGAATTAAGAATTAATATAATTAAGAATTAATATAATCTAATTCAATCAAATATTCTAAATATAAACAAATTATTTATTAAATTAATATTTCAAATAAATTTGGATAAATATTAAGAAATTCTATATTTATAAATAAATATCTAATTATACATTAGAGTACATGAATAAATATATTGTTTATTTTATTTCAGCAAAAACAAACAAAAATATTTATCTTCTGTTGTAAAGAGTACGAATATGTGGTGTAATCTAAAACTCGTATCCACGTCCAACATTACGAGTGATTGCGTCTTGAAAATATGAAAGAGTTAAGCGCCTCTAAATTAGTAAAACACATTCTAGATTTTAAAAATATTCTTGTTTTACAACATTTTGTGGGGAAGCTATTTCTCTTATCATATTTGTTTTTTTCCTACCAAAAGTTGATTAAAGAATAAAATTAAAGATTTGGAAGCAAAATAAACACTGAACTTGTAATTAATAAACACCAAACAAAGTTTACCTTTTGACAAAATTAAGAAAAAGTCTTCCTATACCCAATATTTTCTTTTTGAATAAAATTGTAAGAATTGTTTTGTGTATTTTTTAATTTTTAGGTACATATTTATAGTTCTGTACTTCTTTTAAGAATATTAATTTTGTGCAAGTGAATATAAAGTCACAGGAAAAGTGTTGGGTTGCTAAAATAAAGAATAATAATTGGAAGAATAATTTGTAAATTTGTAATCTAAAGATAATATTTTTCGGATGAGATAATAAATATCCTGTAGTATAATTAGATTTTTTTTTATCCATTATTATTCTAATCTTTGAAAGAAAATTTTAGATTTAATTTTTTATAATATTTTTAAATTTAATAATTAAGAACAGTTTACCATTTTAAAATTAACAAAATATAATTTTTTATATATTTCAAATAATTTAATCCATACTTACAAAAAAATATGTGATTATTTTAGATTTATTATTTTAAAAAAATTGTAATTAATTTTTTAAAAATACTTTAAATCATCTTTACTAAAAAATTCCTAGAAACGTATTCAAAAAATCAATTTTTTTTTAAATTTTATTTTAAAAAATAAATTTATAATTTAATTAAGATTTAATATTTAAATTTATTTATATTAAGAATAATTAGCACTTAGCCCCCGCTTCGCGACTCGATTCCCGCTCTTCGGAATCTCCGGGACTTACCACACGTTGCCCCAATTCAGTCCTCGCAGGAATTGAGCACGCTGCCTCGCTTCGATACCAAGAGTTTGGCGCCAAACGCTAGCCACTTTGCTAAAAGCTTAAGTTCGGTAATAAGGGTTCACACTTTAGCACTTAGCCCCTGGTAGTAAGATTAATATAAATATTAAGATATTAAAGTTATAATCAATTATGACTATATTAAAAAAAAATGTTTAACTCTTCACGGTGTAAAAATTGAAAATTAATATTTTTAATATTACTTAATATTTACAAGATAAAAAGCATATTTATAATATAAAGATAAATAATAATTCATAAATACTAAGATTTGAAAATAATAATCATAAATTCATTTTATAAACTCATTAAATGTAATAAAATAAGAAATGAAATATTTATTTTTATACTATCTGTACTATAAAATATTTATTTATAATAAATTATTAAATAAATATTATTTTTATTAATTTATTATATAATTGCATTAATTTATTTTTGATAAACTCATTATATAATCCCATTATAATGATCTATTAAATGAAATCCCAATACATTCTAATTCACTTGATTTTCTTTTAATGGAAAATAACTTAAATTTCTTATTTTTTTTATTTAAAATATATTGAAAGTGGTAATATAATTAATAACATTTTTTATCAAAATTATTTATTGTACTGTATTTACTAGCGTAGTAGATTTATAATCTTATATTAATAAGATAATCAATACATAATTATTTTTTAATAATATTTTAGTATCACTTCTAGATCATAATGGTAATTTATGTAAGTAATAGGGCTTGTTATGTTATGCGTTCCAGTTAAAAGTAAACAGCAAGTGGCAGCATAGAAAACGACACCGTTTAGGTTTGATGGAGAACGAAAACGGTTACAAGATGGAGTTCAGAGCCTACACAGACGAGGCGTGGTACACAGTACGTGTTTCAGTTGAGGGAGAGACGCTGAGAGTGAAGTTCCTGGACTTTCCCGACGAAAACGACAATGCATTTGAAGCCTCCCAATTTGGGGAATGTAAGTACCTCCATGATTTCCAGGGTCGCTTCAGACCCCTTTCCAAACAGGCTCAAGACAGCGAGTGTCGAACACTCGAGAAAGGCACCAGGGTCTGTGCGTGTCAGCGGTCCGGCAAGGATGACCTTAGCTACTACGACGCCCTCGTCGATGGGGTTAGTCTCCACTCGCGTATCTTACGTTGTTATCAGTATTGGGTCTTTGGTTTTAGCTTGTTTATATAATATTTAAGCACGTTTATGGGATTAAACTGACCGTTTTGTTTAAATAATAAGCTAATTTTTCTTTTAAAAAATCACTTATTTAAGAAGTAGATAGGATTTGCTTTTTAAAATAAGATCAAATATGATTTGCTTACCAAAATTAGATGAAAATTATTTATTTTTATTTTAAGAAAAAAAACCTGTTTATTTTTAGATAAAGTAAGTAGATTCGATAAAAAAACAAAGAGATTTGTTGTTTATAACACAAACATGGTCCACTGAGTGCTTCTAAGAAAAACTGCTTATTTTTGAAATAAGTAGATTCGACAAACGGCTTATTTCTAAAAATTAGACAAACACAGAAAAAGTAAATACGCTAAAAAAACATTTAAAAACAAAATAACAGACAAAGTACCTCAAAACAAACTTAAGGTAACAATTTGATCATTTTTTGTTCTAATTTAAAAATACTTCACTTTTAGTTCTTAAGTTATATGATCATTTTGTTGTGGGATAAAATAAGAAATGAGTTATTTTAAATTAGGGGAGAAAATAACACTTGTCAACTGCAAATAAATATAAAACCACGTGATCTTCAGGTTAATGAAAGGGTGTTTTCATAACGCTAAACATTAGTATAGGAAATTTGTAATGAAGCAAGCAGAAACATTTCACGTATTGATCTAGAATCACTAGTTAGAGAGTGTTTTTGGTTCTATGGCGAGAGTAATGATAATTGATTTTGACTATAGTCAAATTGATTTTATAAAAATATAGATGTTTGGTCATCCAAAAGTAGAATTGCTGTTGTTTCAAAATCTCAGTTTGATTAGATGGGATAAAAAGTAGCATTTGCTTTGAGTTGAAAAAATTTACATCAAGTTTTATAGCATATTTGCTTTCAAAATAGAAAGACCCAAACATAAATCACTTCTCTAGCGAATCAATTTTAACCCAAATCAATTTTTTTAAGAAATGCTACCCACAAGCATTTATTTTTTACTAAATTTAGGTTGTGCTCACTGACGTGGGTCTCGGGCCATATTTAATGAATCTCTTTCATTATTTGAGTAAATATATAATTTTGTTCTTGACAGTTCGCATGAATATTATCAAGCTTCCAAATCTATCAATTTCATGACAAATTAATCCTTGTCCTGTGGAACTAATCAAATTTAGAAACCATATCTGTTGTTAAATAAGACAGATTCCGAGGCTAGATTGTCCTGAAGTTTAGAGGTTCGAGGATTACATTGATTGAGAATGTTATTAAGTTGACTTAGATTGTGTAGACATTAACATTCAAGGAACAAACTAATATAGGTTGTTACTTTTAGCTTTTTAAGATGAGATTATATATTTACTCTTTATAATTTAGTTCTCACATAAACTTTACCTAATACTGAAATGTGATGGAAAAGATGTATTTCTAGCATTTCTCTAATTGTCTCGGGGGCATGATTAACTGCGAGCATTATATCACATAATCTTAAAAACTTTCTTTTTAAGTTAGTATGTTGGGATTCCATATATCTGCCTGAAAAAGACTCATCTTTCCTCATTTGAGCAAATAGTAATGCATGATTCTTTCCACGTTTATGAAAAGGCTATACGGTTTTTTAAGAGCTGCCAGGTGAAATGAGCAAGTCCTATACTAGAAACTCAATTCAATGAAATAGAAAGCTGATGGTTTTCTATTTAGATTGGGGAGAATAAGGCAATCAACCTTTACATTCCTGATTAAATTAAACTGTTTCTTTCGTATCCTTCAAAGGTGCAACGAAGAAAGCATTCTTTGACAGCAAAAGAAGAATCATGCTTGTGCACCTTCATACTTTTCTGGTTGCAAGGGCCAAATGCGGGAAATCTGACGGTTACAACAATTGAGGATATCTGCATAGTTCAACCTGAAGGAGAGCTAGATCCTGTATTGGCTTCGTTTCTAGAGATGGCAAGGGGGAAAGTAGATTTGTTTTCCTCGTGTTCTGTTTCAGCATCAAAGGAAGTTTCTTGCATGGAAATGGTGCCAGACTGGAACAGAAGCTCAAACACTACTTTTGGAATTGGTTATTTTGAACGAATAGAAAAGGCAAGTATTATATGTTTTTTTTTTTTAACCATGAGCACTTTCCACTAACTTGTTGGATATGTTGTCACTGTCTTACATGATATCTTACATTATATTACTCCGACAGGAAAAACGATGTGCTAAGCAGTCTATTGCCAAAGTTTGTTCACCTGAAGGTTTGTTTTATGTAATAGTAGAGGTTACCATCAGAAGGAGATTAAACTCACTGGGTTTTGCTTCAAAATCCTTTTCATGTTTTCCAGATATTTTTATGGGTCTCTTCGTATGATTGCCCATCTAGCTCTCTCAGGGCTAATCATAGCTATCAAAATCACGGGTCAACATTTAGGATCATATGATTTTATTCACTAGGCTTGTTATATTAAATCAGACTCTACATGACTGATTACATGTAAGACTGTGTTCAAGTAAATCTGTCAGCTTGCCATGGTAAAATTGTTAGAATTACAACTCATAATATGGTTAAAAAATAGGCTCTTGGCCTATTGATTTTATGCTTGGACTGTGACACAATTTGAATGGAATGATGGTTATTGGGCTTGAAATGAAAATCATGATGCATCTATTCTTGACAATTTGTGTTTTATGCAGTTAGGCTGTACATGTATTTGATCTTCTTCACTTATATGTTGTTCAATTTCTTTAATGAATATTTGCTTTGCTGTTTTACTTTTGCATAATCTTAGGTCTTTGGCATAATTCTCAAGCCGATGAATTTCTGTATATAAATGGAACATCTTTTCATTTTTTTCCCTTTGGTCACTTTACTTCTGCAGTGATCTATCTATTTGCTACGGCGATGAATTATGAGCAATATGACATTCCTAGACCTGTCGTTATCTATATCTTCCTACTTAAATGTTAGTCATGTTTGTTTTCTTTATCAGGTTAAAAGTATTTCTTGTGAATCCTTATATTAAATTTCTGTACCTCTTTTTTCATATTCTTATAATAGTTGGGATCTTTTATCCTGTTTTAAATATTATGGTCAAATGACTCAAATCCTTGGGAGACACGGTCTGACTGACACTAAGTTAAATTTCTTATTTATGTTTTAGTTTTTCTTACCACTATACATGTTCGTATGTATAAACAGATTGGAACCTTCTTCATTATTACACCCATATATCACATTCTTCAGCTTTGATTTTATTTACTGTGGTTGTTCTTTATATATTTTATAATGATGTCCTATAATATGAATCTTCTAACTTGTTCCTCGGATTTCCATTTGGTTTCTGTTTTCTTCTTTTATTTGGTTTATAGTCAATTGCGATGACATCGAAGATAGGGATCTCCAAGGAACAAAAACTGTGTGTATGATATTGATTGCAAATATCAGTAAAGAATTATGTCCATCTACAGTTAGAGAGTTCTTATATAGACATACTTCAGTATCAGCTAGCGTCTTAATTTTTCCAAATTTTTCATCGGAGGTATATACCTGGGGAGCCATTATATTGAATTCTGAAAAAGAGTTCCAAGAGATGTGTGGCTTTTTGAATAATCCCAGTTGCATCATAACGTCTTCATCTGGCAGGTATAGTGTATGTATAGCTCTTAAACATGATGTTTTCAACCATAAACAATCTACTATAGTTTTTCATTGTTGGTTCAATTGTGAAAAGTAAACGTCTGTGTCAATCAACTCTATGTTGAAACAGGGCTTGTTAATTCTTTTTGTAGTAACTATTTTAATAATTTAACTAACAATGCTACCAAAGTCTGTATATGTTAGTATTGTTTGCCTTTTTTACTATTTAGAATTAATCTCTTCACTAACTTTTTCCAGGCCATGGGTGATACATGAAAAGCTAGTGGGGCTAAAAAAAATTGAAGCATCAATAGGAACATTGATGCATATATCAAAGGTATCTTTTATGCGCAAATTTCTTTCCACCTTTTTGCGAACATTTCCAGGCTTAATAGTCACGAACAGGGTAATTGGTCAAGACTATAGGATTGCCACATGGTCAAATTGGGACATCAGAAAAATCATTAAATTTATGAAGTTGGAGGGGCTCCCAGTTCAATAGAGAAACTGTTCATAGTGAGAAACAATGCCATGATATCCATTGGTTCTGAAAATCTGATTATCATATTTTGATAAACTTTTATACAAATTAATCAGATCACCAATTTTACTTCAGTAGCTTTAGGAGAGGACTGGTGAAGTTGCTTTGATGATAATGATAACCAAAGTTTTAAATTACGATTGTGGTCACTTTCATGATTATCCATGATATTGCTAACAAGGTGGTGGTTATGAGTGTGAGTGCAATAGTAGTTGTGACCATTTTCCAAAACCTTAATAATAACCTAAGGCAGTTCTTCACATGCTTCCCCACTTGCTATCTTAATGATATTGATTTTATCTTTGCAGAGTATATCACAAAAGGGAAAGAATGGAGCAAGCAACAATTTGAAGGTTGTGCACTCAGGAACTCAAGAATTCAAGATAGCTAGTGATTTGAGGGATTTGTTTTTGGAATTTACTAATCACCAAAAGAGGCTACACAAGAGACTTGCACTTGAGGAGGGAAGGGTATTTAAAGCTGATGAACAACTTGCTTAAAAGTTTTTCCTCCATATTTTACTGATTTTGAACCTAATTTTGCAGCTATTGTAACTATAACCATACTGGAAGGTTATGGACATGCTATTTTATTTTGCCCAAGATTGTTGTCGGGTTTTATAAAAAGATAATTAAGGTTAATTAGTTAGTTGTTAAATTATTGGGGAATTTTCAAATAGGTTTATATACTAAAAAAATCAGTGTTAGTTTGGGAAAATGAAGTCTTCTATTTTTACACATTTTTAAACAATTTTTCATTTCCTGGAACAGGAATGTGAGTAATAAAAAACAAGAATCAATTAAAGTTTCATGATTGTTTCTTGACCCATTCGGTTAAGGAAAGGTTGATGTTTCCTGTATCTCCATAATTTCTCTATATATCCTATAATTAAATTAAATCTTATTTTACTCGTACAATTATTTTTATTTTAATCGTTATTAGTGTTTATTTCTAGTTTAGTTTAATGATATATTTTTAAGTTCTACTATATTCTTTTCTTTCTTATTATTCCAAAAATGATTAGAAATAGGAAAGAATCTCCAACTTTTTTAATTTTGTATAAAAATTTTACATATATAGTGTTTATATAACAAAATTTTTTGTTGGAAACACATTATAGAAAGTGAGAAAAATGGTCATTTTTTTTAATGTTTCAGAGTGTGTTTTCCGAAAAACATTAATTGATTTTTATAAATGTATTCCACCCTGTATAAAAATATTTTGAAAATAATGAAATGTTGAATTTATAATTTTTGATGTTCTTGTTTATATATACAATGGAGGAAGATTTATTAAATAATAATATGTCAGATGAAGTTGGCATGTTATAATGGGGTTAGATAATATAGACAATCACATTCCTAATAATTTGATTGATTATATTGATGCATTCACAATAGATGAGGTAAAATTTTAGTTATATATTAATGATATAACTTATAAATATATATATATATATATATATATATATAATATTGATTTTATATTAATTGATATAGATATTTGCTACACAAGATGATTTCGTTGAAGTGGGTTCGAGAGGTTGTATTTAGATTTGGATTTGTGGTTGCATTAAGAAAGGAAGACTTATGTATTGTTAGGTTGTGAAAGAGGTGGTATATATATATATATATATATATATATATATATATATATATATATATATATATATATATATATATATATATATATATTGATTTTATATTAATTGATATAGATATTTGCTACACAAGATGATTTGTTGAAGTGGGTTCGAGAGGTTGTATTTAGATTTAGATTTGGATTTGTGATTGTTATACTTAGGTCGGATACAACAAATGATCATTAAGAAAGGAAGACTTATGTATTGTTAGGTTGTGAAAGAGGTGGTGTATATATATATATATTTATTTTATATTAATTGATATAGATATTTGCTTCACAAGATGATTTGCTGAAGTGGGTTCGAGAGGTTGTATTTAGGTTTGGATTTGTGGTTGTTATACTCAAGTCGGATACAACAAATGATCATTAAGAAAGGAAGACTTATGTATTGTTAGATTGTGAAAGAGGTGGTAAATATAAGAAATATAAAAAAGATTTGCAGTCAACTGTTGCAAGAAGTAGAAAATGTGAGTGTCCTTTTAAACTATGGGGAAAACCTACAAAGGATGGATTATGAAGTTAATTTTTGGAAGTCATAATCATTAGTTAGTAGGTCATCTATATCTTGGTAGATTAACAAGTAATGAAAAATTCATGTTAGTTAATATGACAAAGAGTTTGATAAAGCCTACAAATATTCTACTTACCTTGAAGGAAAACCATGAAAAGAATGTTATGAGTATAAAACAAGTGTATAATGCAAGATGCACATATCGTAAAAGTATAAGAGGTCACAGAACTGAAATGCAACAACTAATGTGAAAGTGATGAAGATCTTATTGAATCATTTGATTAAACGAAAATCTTGTTAATTTGATGAAGTCAAAATGAAGTCAAGGCTATTCTGCTAAAGTCTTGGTTAAAAGGGTAGAGTGATTAGTGAGTCTGCATCTATACATAGGTATAATCATTCATATCTCTCTGCTGCATGAGATTTCATCATTTAAAAGATTTTGCAAATGCCTCTAAATGTGTTTAATCTGTTAAAAACCAAAGTAATCAATAAAATGGTTTTTAAGTAATTGTTTTAACTGATATTATATGAGCTTTATCAGTTAAAATGTTCTTAACACTTACATAATATGTTTTTAACTGATAGGTTTTTGAAATAATCGATTAAAACCTTTTAAAACATACACTGGAACTGTTTTAATCGATATATCTTCGAATTAATCGATTTTTTTCATTAAAGGAGTTTTTGAAAACCTTCTGCCAGTATTTTAACTGATGTATAATCGAAATAATCAATTAAAATGACTTAAGATGTTTTGAAAAGTGTTCTGACAGTATTTTAATTGATACAAACTCGAAATAATTGATTAAAATAACTTGAAGTGTTTTGAAAGATGTTTTGTCAGTATTTTAATCGATGTAAATATGAATTAATCGATTAAAACCACTTGAAAGTTTTTGAAAGAAGTTCTATCAGGATTTTAATCGATGTGTTATCAGTTAAAATGACTTAAAAAGTTTTATAAAACTATTTGGTAGGATTTTAATTTATTAAAATGCGAAATAATCGATTAAAACAACTAAGAGATTTTTTTCAAAGTGTTTTAATCGATTAAAACATATTGTTATCAGTTAAAATCACTTACAAAGTTTTATGAAAACATTTGACAGTATTTTAATCGATTAAAAGATAAATTAATCGATTAAAACAAATTAAGGGATTTTTTACAAAGTGTTTTAATCGATTTTAAAACAAATCTGGAAAATGATCAAGAACATTTTAACAGATTAAAAGAAGTTTTAACAGATTAATTCAAGACTTTTAACAAATTAAAAGATTGTTTTAAAAGATTGTTTTAAAAGATTGTTTTAACAGATTAATTAAACCAGCAGTTTGAACAATCTTCTATATAAACGAGGATTGCTTGAATATTTTAAAATATACCTTTGAGCAATCAATCAAACAATCATAAGAGCTATTTTCAAGAAAGGATCACGCAAGTTTTGTGAAGTTTTTCAAAGTTCTTTCTTGAGGCATTTTCTGCATTTCTTTTGTGAAGAAACTCATTCTGCAGAGCAACATAATTCGGGTTTGAGTGTTCTAGTTTCTTCTCTTTGTTTCTTTTATATTTCATTACTGTATTGTGGGTGCCTGGAAGTGTGGGCGCTGGTTTCTATGGCTGGATTTGGCTGCAGGGTAGTTCAAGAACTGGAAGTTGGTTCTTGGTGAAGGTTTAGGTACAAGGACTGGAATTTTGGTTCTTGTGGTAGATTGAGTGTGTGATTGGAGTTGTAATCTATAAAACATTCAATCTAGTGGAACTCAACTAGAATTTGGCTGAGAACTGGACGTAGCACTGGGATTGGGTGAACCAGTATAAATCTTGGTTGTATCTCTCTAAACCTTTCTCTCTTTAATTCTGTTGCTGCCTTTATTTTGATTGTTTGTTTTGTTTGATTCAAGATTTGGTCAGAACTCTTAATCTTTGAAATAGATAATCTGTAATTTGCGAAAATCTTTCAAAGATCAATTCACCCCCCTCTTGATCTCGACCTCCTTTTCTAACATAATGAAGTTATTAGAGTAAGACAAATATATTCACTAGCATTTGCTTGATGAGACTACAAATATTGTAACGAGATAATAAAATTTTTAAAATATAGATGGTAAATTATTAGTAAAATTAATATTAAAAATGTTCATATTTAGATAATTTAAAAATTGAATAATAATAATAATAATAATAATAATAATAATAATAATAATAGATTAAAAATGAAATTCTATGTAATTTTTTTCTTAATTTCAATTTCAAATTAAAAATTAAGAATTGAATTAAATTGAACAAAACTATTTATTATATTTAAATATAATATCATATATTTAAAAATAATTATTAATTAATAAATATGTATGATTATATTTCTTAAATATTATTTTATTAAATATATTATAGTAACTTTAGATTATGATTATAAATTATAAGATTATATAATTTATATAAATATAAAAGAATTTAACATTATAAATATAATAAAAATTTATATCTTTTTATTTGATAATTTTTATGATACAAATTAATCATTAATTAAAATAAAAATTCAAAACAAGTTGTAAATATTAAGTTGATTTAATTTTAATTTTATATTAAATTAAAATAAAATTAAGCAAAATCAATTTTATTGTTTTTAGAAAAGACAATCCAAAAATGCATTTCGAATTAGGTGTTCTAAAATGTGTTTCCGGAAAAACCAATCTTAAAATGTATTCCAGATTGAGTGGTCTCGAAATTCAACCTTATCTTGGCATATTGAGCAATTTGGGTTTTTTTGTGCAATTTGAAAACAAGAACATGTAATTCATACATAATATTAATGATTATTTACCTTTAATTATTAGAAAATGTTTTCAATGGAGGTGATAAAAAAAAAAAAAAATCAAGGGATAAAGGTGTTAAGGGATGGTAGCGCAGAAGTTATACAAATAGAAGAAGTTATGATAAAAAACAAAAATATGGAAAAAGGTATTTTAAATATTTAACTTAGAGTATGGAGGTGCATAGAGAAATTATGGGAATGCAAGAAGAAAAATCTTATGTTAAAAACAAAATGGATAGGTGAGTTAAAGAAAAAAGTGTTCTAATATTCATATTTATTGATGAAGTGTTGAATTTAATTATGAGATAAATAAGAAAATTAAGTTAGATATCTTATAAATATAATATACAAACTTATGGTCCTAGAATTAAAAATGAAATTATTATTTTTTAATGATTATTTTGATATTATTGTTGAAGATCAAACTAATTACTCCATCATAAATATATAATATTATTTTACATCTTATCTTCTTAATTTTTGTCTAAACATAGTTTATAATTGATTCTCGTTTCAAAATTTATAT